GCTCTATAGACCAGCAGCTGAGGGCTGGAATGTGTGCTGTGACTATGCAGACCCAGGCCATGGAAACAGAACCAGCTTCCTGATTGCACTATTGAGTGAGATTAGGACATAAGAGAGAAATGAACTGATGTTTAACAATCGCGAGACTTTTTAAAGAATTGAAGAAAAGGAAGAGGCTTGAAAATAGATTTTGACTGAAGACATCCATCAAAGAATAAAGAGGAAAATATGCTAGAGGGGAGAAGAAATGAGACCAAGATGCAGAAGTTAAGCTGACATAGTGAAAATTGACAAGAATAAAAAACTAAGTAATTTAGAGGGTTTTCATAAACACAATGAAATTCTCATCAGTGAAAAAATAAAAAGAAGTACTCAGTTAAATTGTTAATATGAATGAACTTTAGAAATATTAAAAACAGAATTCCCAGGTAAGACACAATTTAAGAAATCTTACAGCTCCATTGAGACAAAAATACCATAAGGAGTTTGAACTAACTTAAAAATCTCAAATAAAGGATCTTCTAAAAGTCTTCTTTTCTGGCTAAATTCTCAAGATATGAAAATCTGTATTTTACAGTATATGGCCTCCTACACGTCACAGCACATGAAATTTTACGCAGCAATTCCTGTACCAAAGCCAGTAACTTGTATTTGTCAGAGCAAGTGAATTTGTCATGTATTTATGAACCAACCTACCTTGCTCTTCAAATTAAAAAAACTTTAGAGGCCCATATTTTCACCATGTGAGATATCATTGCATCTACTTTTTGAGTTAAATATGAGGAGTCCTTTATATGCCTCACTGTTTCCAGTCTTTGAACATTTCCTGCATCTTTGCATTCCCATCAGTACATCACTCTCTCTTCTATGACACAGCTGTGGACCTACCACTCTCAAACACAAATTTTACAGAAACAATTGACGCTGTCCTGTAGTCCTTTCCACTCCAATATTCTGTTCACCAGAAGATCACAGAATCTGAGAGATACCATGGCACTGAGCCTGAGAGAGAAAAAAAGGGCTAAGAGGTGGGACAGTAAGTGTAGATGAAGCAGAAGGTAATAAGGCACATGAAAAATGCCACATACAGGCTCCCTACACCTTGACTGGGTTTCCTTATGTATCAGAAAATCAGGTAATTTGGAAGGTCTGTGGTCAACAGAGCTGCACATGGTAATTCAATAGTTAGTACTGATGCTATTTAAAAAAAAAAAATCCCTCTACTCACAATTTCACATTAGACACCCAAGGATGACATAAAGGATCATTTTTACTGTAACCACAGCACAGGCCTGGGAGTTCCTACTGTCTTACTTGCCTGTTAAAATCTCTTTTTAAACAGTACTTTAAAAACTCTTTTTAAAGTAACAAAAGCATTCTTGAAAACTTATAAATCTTGCTTGTATTCCTGGTTCTAGCTGTATGACTTTGCAAGTGCCTGTACACATTTTTGAGTGAATACAAGTTACTAAATAATCTAGATTACTCTGCAGATGTTGGTACCATTGCTGCTTGTTACTCATCAGTTTTGCATCAGTCACACTTGTTTTTTAGAGTGATTTTTAATTACATTCCTTTGATAAAACTTCGAAAACATGAACATTTAGCATTACAACAATGCAGTTACTTTTATGTCAATCTTGTAATCTTATCAAAGCATTAAATCAGCTTTCTTTACAACAGCTGTTTTCCCTAGAACTACATTGATTTGCATTAATTATATTCCTATCCGTTAATTATTTTTTGTTTTAATCACCTTAGTAATGTATGAGTTTCCTATTAGATGACAGTCTAACCCAGTCATAGCCAACTCACTTCACGTTTTTACCTATTGGCATGACATGGGCATTAACACAGCCTTCAGGCTACATTTAATATCAGCAGATCAAAGATCCAACCAGCAAAGCCTTAAGTGTGTATGGTAATTCCAACCATACGGACTAGTAACAGCATGACATTGATAGCTATACAAAATCCCCAATTTCATTCAAATTTAAAACAGGACTAGTCCAGATAGACACTACATCCAAGTGATACTTTAAGCAATTTAGATTCTGACATTTCTTTCCAGTATATGATTGTTTGGGGTTTTTTGCCCTTATGTTATGATACATAAGACCCCCCACAAATGTCAGGGACAACTGACTGATTTCTGTCTAGTGGGACTAAGGAAGTTAAGTGTCTGCAAAAGACAAGCATATTGGTAACAACTATTTTTATTTAGTCTTTGAGTAATATTTATATTAGTTGTTACAAAAGGTACATATTTCAAACATAAAAGTAATATTTTAAAGTTTAATTTTCTTGAATCCCATAGAAGTAGCATTCTCAAACCAGAACCCATGTACTTGCAAGAAATTAATATAAACCACTTCAAAGTGATACATGGAACTGTGTGACTGCATGTTGAAAACTAGTCCCTGTTCTGGTCCCTGTGGCTAAAAAATAATATAATGGTATTTTTATACGTACAGGAAGGTTGACAAAGATGATCAGAGGTAAAAAACTGCTTCCTCGTCATATTACGATTCTCCTTCTTGACAAAAATGGCTAACAAAGCAAATCAAATATTCACACTTTTACATAAATAATCAGGATTTTTTTTTCACTATTGTACTTGGGGCAAAGAAAGTACTTATAAGGTAGAACTCACCATTTTGATTTTTGAAACTTCAGTACCTTGAAATTGCCTGGTTTAATGCATAAGTGCCTATTAAAACTATTGATAATAGTCAACTAGGTAAGAACTGGACATTCAGGCCATGCCCACATTTTATTTTTTACTCCCACTTCTTCAAATATATATTCAAACTTTGTCCTATTATAGCCTCTTATCATAAAAGTTGTATTAATCTTCCTAATACTGCAACAATGGTGATACTAGTAGTATCAGTCTCTTCTGAATATACCCCACAGATTCCTCTTTTCAAACATTTACTTTTTTTCTTATTTTTTAAGTTCTTTAGGAGTCTCATCTCTTTCTGTTTCCTCAATCCACTTTGTTTCATAAGTTCCCTAGTTGGTATCCTGTAACTATGCACTTTTCTCTCTCTCCCCTATAAATATCTCTTACTCTGCTCTATGTTATATGAAATAAGAGATCTTTGGAGTCTACCAGTCTTTAATACTCCCAAGTACCTCTTGTCATCTCAGACCATGAAATACAGGAACTGCATCTTAAGTGACAACTAGTACCACATAATTAATCACTAAGGGGGCCAGATAGGAACTATCATAACAAAAATTAATATTAAACAGTTAAAATTACACTAAGAGCCTTTCCTCAAAAAGAAAAAAATCCTTTTAGATTAAGTTTCCTGAGCTAAATTATTTTTTCTTATATCATTTCAAAGAAACTGCCCTGACTTATTTTCAGTGTAAACTACTGTGCTACAACACTGCAAGGATGTTTCAGCACAAAGTAACTGATCTTAAAATCCTGATCAGTTTAATGTGCAATGAAACAGTAAACGAATGCATGTATTGTTGGAGGGAAAAAAACCAAACAACACAAACACAAAAACAAAACAGTGTGGCTTAAAGCACATAAAGAGCTGTTTAATCTCAGAACCCTACCCAGAGCAAATTCCTCAAGCTTTATTAAGAGAGAAGATGTGTTGATTTTATTTCTTTTTTCCTCAAAACCTTCCTAACATTGCAACAAATAAACAATATTCCAAGCGGCCATTAACCTTGGGATCATCTTCTTGTTTTATAGCATTCTGAGCACATTTTCAAGAAGTTTTATATGGAGAAGTAGAAACAGCTGCAACTTCACCCCAGACACGTGTCCTCAGTCAGTAAACACAAACCGCAATGTAAATAAATATAGCCCAGATCTATTTGTAGCCCAGAAAAGCTGAGTACATTAATACGAGCACAGACATGGTCTTATAGCCACGTGAAGCCAGGTGGAGTGAAAGGTAATATAGTCATGTTCTGAGCAACAGACCTCACGAGTCAGTGACCATGAACACCTCTGGTTTATAGAGACTACATAAAATCAGGCCATTTGGGCAAAACCACAAACCAGCATACCTTTGTACAAGCCAATACTCACTGATGAGACTCACAATTGTTTATTTTTTAGATTAAAAAACAACTTCTGCAGGCTCTTGTAATTTGTAACAATACAATAACATGCAGTCGAAAGACTTAACCAATTAAATACAACTAGAACAGTTTCAGACAAACTGAATCTAAAAATAGGCTGCTATTTCACAAAGCTGGCGCTGACCCACACTGAGGTGTTTCCCAGGTTGCCCGTGTCCAGCCGGCTGACGTGCCTGTATCCCTTGGGCACAGCAGTGACACTGTCGGTCGGTGCTTCCCAACGCTGGGCTCCAACTCCTGATCACGCTTTTCAGAAACCCCTGTGCTGTTCCCTAGGATGGAGAGGGGAAGGCTGAGAGAGCCCCTGTTGTTTCCCACACCACTTCTGGCCTACTGGGCTGATCTCCTATGTGTAACACCAGAATTCACCGGTTTTATCCCGACTTAAAGAACACAGGGTAATCCGCGGGCAAAACGCGCTAAGAGCTTCCTGCCAGCATTAAACTCGCCAAAGCGGTTTTGCGGCCCGCGGGCGAAGGGCCCGAGGGATTAAACCCGCCCGGGGGCCGCGCTGCGCCATCCTGCGTCCTACGGCCCCTGCGGGAGTGGCTGTCCCGCCTCGCCCCGCCGCGGCGGGCAGCAGGGGCTGCGCGGCAGAAACCAGGACTCGCTGCCCAAGGGGCTCCTGAGCTCGCCGCTGGCGCCCCCGGCGCAGCCGCCGGCATCGGCCCCGACGGGCGGGGCCACGCGGGGCGTCCCGGCCCGGCCCCCGGGGGCGCCCCCGCCCCGGCCCCATTCACGAACCGGTTCCCGCCGGCCTCCTCCGCCGCTCGCGCCGCCCGCACCCGGCGCCACCCCGCCCCCCGAGGCCTCGCGCCAGCCCCGGACGCGCCGACGGCGGCTCTGATTGGGCGGGAGCGACGCCCGTCAGTGACGCGCGCGGGCGAGGGGCGGGGCCGGGGCGCTCGTGGGGGAGGCGGCGCCGAGTGTCGCTCCTGGTGCAGCCGCGTCCGCCCGGCGCTGCCCGCAGAGCCGTCCGCCCGCCGCAGCCGCTGTATGGTCCTGCCCCGCGCCGCCGCCGCCGAACCCCCGCCGGCAGCTCCGCGGCCTCCAGCGCCTCCGCCTCCTCCCCCTCCTGGTTCTGCTCCTCTTGCCCCCGGCTGTGGCGCCCGCACCCCGGCTGTATGATCAGGCTACAGTCTTCAATGAGTAACCATATTCCTGTGAGTGCCGCCCGCCCGAGCCCCCCGGCCCCCTGCCCCGCGGGCCCCCCGACCGTGCCCGGCTCCCCGCGCTTCTCCCCCTGCTCCTCCATGTTATCCCTTTGTTCTCTCGCCCGGCTGCAGGCGGCTTCTCGAAGCGCTGGGCTGCGGCTCCTCTCGGGCGGGCCGCTGGAGCGCCGAGCCCGCCGGGCTGCGGCAGGGCTCGGCCTCTCTGCCGCCCCCGGCGCCCCTCTCCCCTCCTCCGCCGGGAAGGGAGGAGACGGCGACCTCTCCGCGGCTCCCGGGCGGCCCGGCCCGGGCACAAAGCCGCTTTGTGAACCCAGCTGCCGCCTGCCCCGCCCGCCGGCCCGGCCTTCCCCCCGCCAGGGTCTGTGTCTGCCGGGCCGGGTCTCCCGCCGGGGAGGGCAGCGCCCCCGGGGCCGGGGCTCCGCACCCAGGGCCGTGCCAGGAGCCCCCTGCCGGGGGGAGGCCGAGCCGGGCGGCGGCTCCGGGGGACAAGATGGCTCCGCGTCGGGAGCCTGATCGAGGCGTGATGCGAACCCGTGACCGCCGCACCGGGACACGGCCCGGCCCGCGCGGCGCTGCCGCGGCCCGGACACCGTCACCTCGCCGGGGACAGAGGGACGGGCGGAGCGGGAGCCCGGCACCCCGCGGCTGGGGGCGGCCGGGCCCGGCGCTGTCCGGGCAAGCCAAGGCTTGCCCGCGGGCGGTTGGCGGCCCGGCCCGGTGCCAGGCTCGGCTGCCGCGGCTGGCGCTCGCCCCCCGCCGCGGCCCCACGTGCGCGGTCGCGGCGAAGGCGGCCCGGCGGCGGCTTTGTCTCCGCCGTGCTCGGGCGGGGAGGCAGCGCCGGCTGCGAGCGAGGACGTGAGTCCTTTCCAAAATGAGCTCTATGCAGTAGAGGTGGGGTATGCCCGAACTCGGGTGTGCAGCCTGTCTCGTTCGGCAGGAAAAGTCCGCAGAGAAGTATTAAGTACACGTTGAAGCAGATATTTCTCTAACAATGTGCCTCGAACCTCAGAAGCTGACGATTGTAGTCAAATACCTTAATTTTGACCGAACCTGCTTTTAAGACCTTGCCATCTGGCTTTTCAAGGGAGGCATTTCCTTCTGGAGGTGGATCACAGTTCACCCTTGGAAAATTTTGCTTTCCTCATATGCTTCCCGTTTTTTTGTTTTTTGTTTTTTGTTTTTTTTTTTTTAACCCCCTCTAGTAATCTCGGTGCCTGTGCTGCCTAACATCTGTGACCACAGAGCGCTGTGTGTATTTAAGCACAATCAATCAAATAACACATGGCTTGCTGGTGGTAGCATGCCTTCCAGAAGCAGGGAAACAAGAAAGACAAAAAAATAACAGAATCAAGTAACCTACAGTAACAGAAGCAGGATTGTGTGCTCTCTGGTAGGCAGCTATGCGCATGGCAAGTATTATGAGCTGACAGTTGTACAGTTTTTGTGGCATGAGGTTCCTGTGATTCTGGTGTTTCCTATTTCTGCTGGAAACAACTTTCCAATATGTCTACCTGCATCTGCTGAGTCTTTCAAAAGCAGTGACTCAGAAGTATGAACCCTGTCTCTTTGTAATCTCATAAAACTGCCAAACCAAGAAAACTGAAGATTACACTTAAATGTCAGCTCATATTATTCTAGTGATGGAACAGAGAAGGGTTTTGAAATTGTCTTGCCAGGAACAGTTGTTTTGGGGAAAAATGTGGAAGAAGCAATATAGAAATTGCACAGCCATGAGAAGAAATAAAAGAGAGAAAGGAAAATGAGTGACAGATACAGCAGGAGCCAAGGGAGAAGGATGTCATTGTCTTACTGAAACTAAATGTGTCAGTAAGGCAGTAAATAAATAGAATTTAGCCTTATCTAATAACTTCCGTCAAGTGCAACTTCCCTTTTCTGGCAGAATATATGGCACATAAGAATGCCGGATCTATCCCAGTGTGTAGGCTGACTGTAAGTGATGACTTTTAAACATTAACCTGAGCGCCCAGATAAGAGTATTACTGAACTGTAACCTAGCAGCAGATATTCACCTTCTTTAAAAAATTAAATCTTGCTCTATCGGATCAATAGAAGAGATATTTCTATATTAAATGCAAGTCCATAACTCCTTACCACATTCTTCTCAGTAGCAACTTCTTGTTAGGTGTTAATGGGTTTATTAAACTTGATGAAATACAGCAATAACTCTCTTTGTATGTACGTACTAAATTTCTCATGTTCTTGCTTAAAACATAATGGAATAATATTTTAGTAGAATGGTGGGATTTAAATAGTTTGCTATTGAAGTGGCATTGTTAAGTCATTTAAACAAGGGAATGAAATGGGTTTTGTGATGTCTTATTTTCTGCAATATCTGCTAAGGCTTCTTTGCATGTTGTTTCTGTGGTCCACACAGAAGAACTTTGAACGCAGTCACATGGCCTCAGTTTCATCATCTCTGGAAGTTGCATTGACTTGTTATACAGGAAGTTTTGAGATAATTTTTTCTTCCCCCTTTCAGTGCATATTTGAACCACGAGAACATCCTTCCGGCAGAGAGCATGTCGCAACAAATTTATGATAAACCTTTCCCTTCCTGTCAGTGAGATCTGAGTGTATCTTCTTAGGCAATGGGTTGCTGTCTGTGGCTAAGATGGACAATGTTATCACTGTGGATATTACAGTACAGGCATTCATCTCCCCAGTAGGTAGGAGATACATCTTGTCAACAGCACCTTACAAAGGTGTGCCTCTGTCTTGCCTTATGGCTTCACAGTTTGTATCCCTTACCCTCCCACTCTTCCCTGACTGCTCTGGCAGTTGCTATTTAAGCCTTGAGTAGTAAGAGGAAGTCAGGGCTATCTGTCATTCAGTAACTTTTTGTCAGGTAGTAAGAACAATGAACTTTCTTGCAGGTGTTCTCAAATTGTCATGAAAATGTAGCTTATTTTAGTTCTCTAGTTCTGATCCTGTGGTTTTAGTAGGTGAGTGTGTGTCAGGTCTTGACTTCAGAGGATGGAAGACCACACAGTCGGTTCTGTATATAAATGTTTTTGGTCTATGAGCTGGTGGATTGAGCAACTGTGAGTCATCTTGCTCATCTTCTGAAGGTAAAGTGTCATGTAACTGCATAAGCAAGTGCTTTTGTTTGCATGTTTTTCAAGATGCCACTGAGTTGTGAATAAGGACGTCAACAGCACGGGATAACCTTACACCTCTTTGCTTTCCCCATATCAGTAACGATTTAACAGATTACTTTTATAAGCCGTTTTTGTCAGACACAAGTGATTGTTTCAAACCATGAATTAACATACATGTGAATCTGTTGGTCAGTGAAGACGGATACTTTAGCATTCTGTCTCAAAGAAGGGCATGAATTAAAGCCTTTCTTTTCAAGATGTCTTCCTTCTACTTGAATAGACTGTTCTCTAACTTTTGCTAGCACGAACTATAGTAGGTGGTGCAATCATAACACAGCTGTAATCTATAATGGACAGGTTGCCTTCTCTTAATATGTGGCCCTGGCATATTAACCTTAGTTTTGTTTTCTAAGTTTATTTTGATGGCTCTAACGGTCTAAATGTTGTCTGGCTTTCTGTCATGATGGAAGCTGCTACTTTTTCCAAAATCCTTCAGTGTTAATTTTCCTCAAGGAAAACTTATATGTAAATTGAAAAGAATATGCTGGACTACCCAACTTAATGGTAAAAGCAATGAGTTGGTGTTGCTCTGTTAAAGAACCTTCTGCATACAACACTATGCATTTGAGTTTCCCTTAGGCAACTTCATGCTTACCTGACAAAACTGTATGAGACAATGTAGTAATTCTAAAGCCCCGTTTCCAAGCCTCTTGGAAGTTCCTGACATCATTTGAGTTCCCTCAAATCTGAGATTATCTTAATTACTGCAACTGTATTTTTATAGCTGATTTCTTATCTTCCAGGTCTTTTTACTGAAGGTGGATGAAGCCTTGTACTGTAATTTAATGCCATAACACAAACAGCATGCCCATGTACTACTTGTCTTTAATTTTCATTTGACTCCCAGAACAGAACTAAACTAGACTGGCAGAGCTGTCTTAGCGTAGTACAGTGTGTTGCTGTCTAAAGGAGTTGGTGTGCATGTGAAGCTTTCCTGCTAGCATTGGTAAGAAGTGATGGCATTCACATCAAAGGAAAATATGAGCTTTGCTCCTTTATAATACGGCAGCAGCAGTTGCCAAGGCAAACAGTGAGGCTTAAATACATTCTTGGTTAGGTCCTTAGCTGTGTGAATTATTAAGGTGCTGATGTGTGTAATACTAAGTCAGTAATTAACAAAATGAATTCCTTTGTAAGGGTTAATAACACATAGAACTCAAATGTAACATTGCATAATCCACTTGCTTCAACTTTGTATAAGAATTTGAACTGTGCACCCAGTTTCTAGATGTGATTAGCAATTTGCATTAAAATGAATGGTTTTTTACTTAACTAATACTTTACTGCCTGCCCTTTTCCTTATCCCCATGATAAGTTTGTCTGGTATCTTGAGTACTCCTAGTTGCATGCTAAGGGCAGCCTACCTAGCAGGCTGGATGAATTCTGATTATTTCTTTCTCCCTACCTGTCCTAGTATGGAGACATGTTAACTGCTTCCAATTACACTGTGTTCTTTTTTCCCCCATTCTGTGTCCTCAAGCTCACTTTCATGCATTTCTGTTTCTGACAGCCTCCACTCCCTCATCCTCTACCAGGGAAAAGGACTGTCTGTGATTCTTCTTAGGAGGAGATAAACATGAGATCTGCCAGTGCATGCAAAAAGTAGCACAAGACCTTGTGCAGCTGTATCTGCTTAAAGCTGTCCTGTCCCTTTTTGCTGTTCTGCTTCTTAAACTAATTGAAAGCGACTTTAAATAAGTTATCTTCAGTTCTTTTTTTTTTAGTTGCTATTTTAGCTGTTTCCTAGGTCTGGTCCTAGGAGGCTTTTAAAAGCACACCTGCCACCTTCTGCTAGGACATGGCTGGTGAGTCAGATGATGATTCTTGGAGTTCTTCCGAGTCTGAATTCTCGTGGTTCCTGTTACTCTGTTGGCCTTTGACTTCAGAGGACCCTTCTTACTCCTTTTTCATGCTTATTATATTTAGAGTTCTTGCTGTCTCTCAAGTTGTCAAAAATAAAAACTGAAATAGGTTTTTTGCAACTGGCAAACTTAATCCTACATTCTTTACTACCAGCTGATGATAGTATCTCTGGAGTGGCAGCAAAATGCATGTGAAATTGTTATTTTAGTTTCTTCTGTTAAGTTAATTCTCATATCTGTTAGCAAGTTGGGGGTTTTTTGTGTGTTTTTGTTTGTTTGTTTGTTTTGTTTTGTTTGTTTGTTTTTTACAAGTCATGCCTGTGATTAACACCTTAAAACTCTTACCAGGAAGCTGTCTGAAAATGAAAATGAGTTGCCTGACTAACATAAATAACTTTTTTCTGCTAAACATTTGTGGGATCAATTATGTTTCTCTCTGCTACCTAAGTATATTTGGTGGGCATGTGGTTCAACTTGTACCTCTCTTTTGGGAAACAGAACTCCTCTCGTCTTCCCTTCTGTTCCCTACACAGGTGTCCTCAGCAGGACTGGTGCTGTGGCTGGGTACAAAACTAACTCCTCTGCTGGAAGGGTTCCACAGTGCATAAAAGCATATCTTAGTGGTTCCTTTACAACATCTGCAAATGAATACCCAACTTGGAGCAGTTCATTTGCTATCTTAATTCCTAGTTGTGTCTTGTAGTAATTATATATATAAATTTAACCATAGCTAAACATCATACCACTGGACAGGAATAACCTGTTCAATAAACTTGCTTATGTATGGTTTTAGCTAGACTGTTACTGCTATCTTGGTATAAATAAAGTCCTGGTGTGAAAAGACAGTTAAAAGCATATGAAGGTTGCCATGGGTCCTCAGCCTTTAGTACGTGAAATGTTCCTTAGTTAGAAATCTGTGTGCCTTGAAAGTCTCAAAGTGTTTGAAAGCTCACATTTTGTTGTTAGCCCACAAAGACTGCATTTGTTTTCATGGCCTCCTATTTAAGTCAGGTGGATTTATGTGCATTTTTTTTCTACTGGCTGTTCTGTATGTGAATTAATGATGCTTACAAGCAAAGTAAGTTTTTAGCCATTAAGACAAGTGATTCTCCTTTTAAGTAGAGACTGATAGTTTTGTTCAGACACTAAAAATTGTCCACTGCTGAGCTTGAATATTCAAGGAATCTCATCCTTGCTTTCATGGGACTACGTAAAGTCACTGTAACTTTAGTAGATGTTGTGATGTCTCTCAATTCAGAATGGAAAAGGAAGTTGTATGGGTATCCTGGAAAAAACTATGCTTTATATAAATACTGGGGTTCTTAAAACTTGTTGCTATGTTTAGCACATCTGAGTTGGTGTTTTAAAACATTTCAGCGTTTGGTGTTGAAATAACCCTATATGAAAACTTTGTGTTAAGTAAATGTATTTATTTTCAAATAATCCTTGCTAAGAAAGGTGACAGGATTCTTACAGATACTTAGTTCTTGGAATAAAAAATAAACTTCATGAAACTGCTTAGTTGCTGTGTTTTTATTTTTTCATTTTATAATGCATGATGTCTTAAAAATAACCTTGTTTCACCTGTCCTCATTATGCTTTTTTTTCCCCCTCTCTTTACAGCAGTTCTGTGGTGTTCTTGGTCACACATTTATGGAGTTTCTGAAGGGCAGTGGAGACTACTGCCAGGCACAGCACGACCTCTATGCAGACAAGTGAACTGTAGAAATTCATTACTACTCCACCAAGAAGCCCCCCTAAGAGTGGTTGACCAGGATAAGAAGTTTTGAATTGAAATTGGCAGAGCATTTAACAACAGAATTCAGACCTGGATGGGGTAAACCTCAGTGCACTGCCTTTCTTTTGCCTCAGTATTACTGGATTGAAGAATTGCTGCTTCTTGTTAGGAGGTTCATTTCATTTCCCATTGCTCCCAACTTCATACTTCCAAGCACTGAGAATTTCACGTGGAGTATAGTGGAGTAGACTTCAGTTTCTCTACATCACTTCTGTATTAGAATTTTTTTTAATCCTTTCATAATCTTGTTGCATGTTTAACTAAATCAATATGGCCCGAATGAACCGCCCTGCTCCTGTGGAAATCACCTACAAGAACATGAGATTCCTGATCACACACAATCCAACCAATGCAACCTTAAACAAATTTATAGAGGTAAGGCCAGGACACAATTTTTACTGATGTGGCTTTTTAATGCCTGTGCAACATGCTGTATTTACAATTTCCTTCTTTACTAGTTGCTAATGGCTGTGAAAGCCATATGAGGAAGTACTGAAATTGTTTGTGTATTGACTTTTTTCAAATACTGATGCTGTGCTTCAAAGAGCTACAGACAAATCTATTCAGATATACTTTGGCCTTCACAAATGTAATTCTGAGAGTGAAGCCAAGTAGTAGTTATACTGTAATGGTACATTAAGTACGTTGTTTAGGTCTGAAAACAGGAATTATTTGACAGAGTTATGTGTAGAACAAAACAAATATCTGCTAGTGATAGGAACTTGAATTCACATTGGGCTAAAGTGGTGTAACATTTCCTTGCACTTACTGCATAGTGATTAAAAAGATAATAATTCACTATATGTCGTTGATCAGAACCTTAGGAACAAAGAACAGGCTTGCAATATGCTTTCACTGCCTAGCTTCCTCCAGTGTTAGCAGATTGTGGTTTTAATGTAGCTTAAGAGGATTGTCTGTGTCATAGTGTCTGCTTCAGTGAAATTTGTGGCAGTAGGCTTACTCTGCATCCAGAGCTGCTGAAGTTACTTTAAGTGTTTTGGTATGTGCTGAAATTGTTTACTGCCAGGTAGCTTGGCATATATTGCTAATACTGCTGGTATCGAATTTATCATCTAAAACTTATATCCAGCGTGTTGGAACTATAAAGTGTGCTGGTGTATAAAGTGTATGCTAGTTCCTGCAAAGTTACTTCCTGGTAAGGTTTGCAAAGTCCCTCATTAGCAAGATTTTAGGTGTATTATAGCTCAATTCTGCATTTGGAGTGGTATAATTTATGGGAAACACAGTAGGATAACATTTGCTTGACTTTATACCGCCACATGTAGATAAAGTATGCTTAGGCCATGCTTCAGTCAGTTCAGTTCAGACAATGTGAAGGATGGGTCATTGCAGGAATAATACAGAGGGAGTGCTTTTTTGGAAAGCTAAATTTTGTTATTCTCTAGTTATGACAACTCATAGTTCTTAACAGTAAGTGGTCTTACAGACCTATTTTAAGCAGAGAGAGAGAAGGAGAAGATTTAAACGTCGCTCAGAGTGCTTAACTGAAGTATGTAGCTTTGCAAACCAGGAAACTTCCTGTTCCTTTAAAAGGAATGATCTTTTGGAGGTGGACTGCTTGATGAATTAATATTTAGCTGGATCTGATTTCAGATTAAAAAAAGTCTGATCCAATATAACAAAACTCAATCTGCACATAAAACTATGTTTGCAGCAGAACTTAAGGGTATCTGGCATTAGCACATAGGTTTTTAGTTATTTCAGCTTTCTCTGTTCTTCACAGGGTGGCAAGCATTTGTATGAGGTTACTTACTGAAAATTTTTGAATTACTTACTGAGTAAACTTACTGAGAAAATTAAGTGGTCAAGTGCAACTAGTTTGCTCTCACAGCAACTTTTTTTTCACTTCCTAGGAACTTAAGAAATATGGTGTTACCACAGTGGTAAGAGTGTGTGAAGCTACTTATGACACTGCTCCGGTGGAAAAAGAAGGCATTCAGGTTTTGGTAAGTAATGTAAAAGCAGAGTTTAAAACCAACCCATTCCCCTCCCCACCCCACCCCTTCCCAAAAAAATAATTCTTTCGATACCACCTTATTAACTCTATGAGTATGTTCAAGCAGCTGATGGAGGAAAAAGCTGTGCAGTCATTCTTTCTTGTCAGGAAAAAATTTCAGTTTTGATCAAAATCATACGCTCAATGAAAACTGATTGAAAGGAATGTATTCCTAATACTGCTATAGTTATACTGCTAGAAAATTGTAAGTTTAAATGGTTTCCTTAGCTGTCAGCACTTTGTCCATTGTATCCCCTCCTTTTTTTGCCTATGCACACATCTTACAAGCAAAAAGAGTTCCATCTTTGTGTATTTGTCATCCTGTATTCTAGGATTGGCCCTTTGATGACGGTGCTCCACCATCCAACCAGATTGTTGATGATTGGCTAAACCTCCTTAAAGTTAAATTTCGTGAAGAACCTGGTTGTTGTATTGCTGTACACTGCGTTGCTGGTCTTGGAAGGTGAGTGAAGCTTTATAAAGATCTGTTGAATTCCTGGTCAGACTTGTTAAGATCTAGTGCAGAAGTTTGAGGTAAATGTAGAATAGTCACATATCCCATATTGGAATGACCTCACACTTAAAAATAGTGAAGATGGCAGGAAACTGTTGTATGCATCTGTTAAGGCCTTTTGGTCAACAGATGATGCTACAATCACAGCTCTCACAAAATCTACTGCATTAAGTAAACAAGTATATTCTTGTACCAAGCATATTGATAAGTGTCCCATTGGTATTTCTGTTTTGCTATGTCTTCTTTTTTTTCTAATGCTTTTGTTTTTATTGACTTGCCTGCTTCATCTCCATTTCAGTATTATTGTGAGTCTTCTTGTACCACGGGTATTGTAACCATTATCCACAAACAAGTGGCTGGTTCTGGCACATCAAGACCAACTTTTATCCACCACCTATCTGAGGGATGAAAAGTGTTCTCCAAAGTCTCAAACATCTGTTTGTCTCACATCTAAGTGACCTCAAAATTATTAGTGATAATGCTAAATATTCTCCTCTTAGCCTGGCTCCCTCTGTCTGCTGCCACTGTCTTAAATACAGTTCCATCAGTTGGGACAACATAATGGTGTTTCTGTTATTGTTCTAGACTACCTAGGAACTAGATCTGTTGTAAAAGCAGTTGCTATATTATAGCCATGGATTTCAGTATGTCCAGTCTAAAATGGAAGTTTCTGATCTTGCTGTCTGTAAGCCTGGCTTATCCACTGCATTATGGCTTCACATGTAACAAAGTTGACTGTAGTAATGAATGTTGCCAAAACCGAAGTCTTTTTCTGCTGCTTAGAGTGCTACCTGTTGGGTTTTCTTCAAAATTGGGCAGCTAATTAGTTGAAAAGAATATTCTAGATTTCTATCCTGTATGTTTTCTCTTAAATCCTTGAACATACAAAATCACTTAAGCTTGCTACTAGATGCACAACTCTGTTGCTCATGTGTGGCATGATTTTTTTTTTTTTGAGCCATAAATTGCTAATGTATTTGGGCTTGATTTCTGTCAAGCTTTTCTAACTGAAAACTGTATTCTTCAGATGAAGAATACTGTGGCAAGCAAGGAAATCCTTGGGAGTGCAGCAGCCTGTGGATTTCATCTGTTCCTAAAACTTGTTATGCTACTTCTACATTTTGTCAGTTTTTATTGAACCTGACACTCCTCTTCTGTTTTCTGATTTGATGATCCAGACTGTTTCTAGGGATGCTTCATTGTGGGGGATAGAAACCCATATGCAACTCTTCCCCAGAATCAATTGCTTTGAAACAAATTGTTGAAGATTACTTTCATTTTATTGCAATTGTACTCTCCTATACCTAAAGTCAAAAGCTAAGGTTGACCAGGGTTAATTTAAACCCCTATCTTAATGAGAATGGGTAACTTAAAAACAAGTGGTATAGTATCTCAGTTGCCTTTTGCCTTTTTTGCCTTCCCAGAGAGAAAGCATCAGATACACAGGACAAAAGAGAGAACTGGGTAAAGGTTTTTCTCAGTATGCATTGACAAAAGCTAAACTGCATATAATTTCTTTTTTGAACCAGAGCTCCAGTCTTAGTTGCTCTTGCACTGATAGAATGTGGAATGAAGTATGAAGATGCAGTGCAGTTCATAAGACAGTAAGTATGAAGCTAATATGTAGCTGTTTCCAAGATTTAACGTGTTGGTACCTCCTTGGGCACTAAAGGAAATTTTACATATGAGAGGCAGAATACCTTTAGAATTTAAGTTCTGTCTCCTAGCTAGAAGTAACACTCACTCACATTGGTGGATCCTTTCTTCTGTATTAGACCAAAGTGTGCTAAAATGTTCTTCCTAGTCTTTCCTGGTGGTCTGCTGAAAACAAATATTTCCTTGGATTTTTTAGATAAGTGTAAGTTGGATGAGAAGAATTTTAGTCGCAATGTCGTAATTTTCAGGTTTCAATTCAACTATGTTTAAAAGAAGCTGCAGCTGTTATAAACAATATCATAATACTTCTTGCATATTTGCCAAGTCTTTGAAGAGTTAAATTCAGCTTGTACTGGTTCTATATAAAATGTGGAACAGGACGACTGGTATTCCAAACAGTCAATCAACATGTACCTTTTTTTCACGTACTTAACGGTTTGAGAAAACGCAGTTCAATTTCTGTTCAGCTTCTTATTATGGGGACTTAAAATATTTATGTTCTTTCTTAATACTGTAAGATTTCTGGATTTTGTACATCAGAGGTAGAACACTGTCTTAAATGCTATGGACTCTTTTGAGCATGTTGTCCAATGAGGTATTTGTGAAAGGAAGCTACCACCCTCTTTCCTGGCACCGAACTTTCAATTATCCCTATTTTGGTTATAGCCTTGACTTAAAGGTGGCTTTTTTAAGTGACCTAAAAATATTTTTCTCTGGTTGGTGATATTATTTCACTGGGCAGGAGATTGATGTTCTATTTAAAATATGTTTTCCTCCATCTAGGAAGCGGCGTGGAGCTTTCAACAGCAAGCAACTTCTGTACTTGGAGAAATACCGCCCCAAGATGCGTCTGCGCTTTAAAGACTCCAATGGTCACCGAAATAATTGTTGTATTCAGTAAAGCTTAACAGCCTATAGTACTTCCTTGGGAATAAAGGATGGAAACTAGAATTAAGCAGACTGCATGCCAAAGACATCAGTCTGGTATTTTTTAGTAGTAAAGGAAGCTTCCTTAGGAGTATTTAATAGGCTAAAGGCTAAGTAGAAATGCAACTTCTATGTTTAAGTAAATATCCATATGTTTGGAGACCCAGTAAATGTTTTTGCTGTATACCCTGTTTCTGAGCTGTCTCCTTGTTCATTGATTAACAGATCAAATATCCTTGAATCATGCCGTTGAGTCTTACCCACCTAGTTTCAACTACTAAAAATTGGGGTACTAAAATAAATCAATCTGTAGAGAGATTAGGTGCCAAAACACCCAGCATATCAGCTATATGTTTTTCCTTAAAATGAGCATAGTTCTGATGATGTGAGAACTAGCAGCTTATCTGGACCTTACTATCTTTTTTTCTACAGTCATTTCAATATTGAAGAATACGGCCTCTAAAGTAGTCTTGCCTGCTCACTGTACGTTTTGTCTCCCACAATCGCACTAGAATTATCAGGATTTGCACAGTCTGTTTTTTTAATACTATTAATTACAGCAACTTTTTACCCTTGCATCTGTACTTTTCTGTTACCTGCAGACCTCTCCATTTTACAAGTCATTACTCTCTGGTTATTCATGTAGAAGATCTTTTAAATTGTACAGAAGCACACAAGTCTTTAATGTCTCCAGACAAAAAGCCTTACAGTAAAATTATTGTTGGCACTTCATGTGCAACTTAACAGAGGGCCTGAAAAGGTTGGGAGGGGCTATTTAATATTTCTAGTAAAATGTTGCCTTTGTCTTGTGCAGGAAGTATAGAATATGCCCTTTACTTTAGTAAATATTTTTTTAAAACTTAGAAATGCTTTGTTATTGTAGCTAAAAATTCTTAATCAGAAAATTTCTGAAAAATCTTGTAGTTTTCTTTTACTGTACCTATTGACAGTTGTTTACCAACTATCGCTTTGTTGAAAGTGTGATTTTTTTTTTTTTCTTCTTCTTTTCATTTTTCCTCCTTGAGTTTCTGCTATGACTTGGGCAGATCTCTGTAATATTTTGTATGCCTTTCAAGCTGCGTAACTTAATATTTGGATACTTGATAATTTGTTTTATTATGTAATTGATAAAATGGTGATGTGTATTAATGTTAGTTCAACCATATATTTATACTGTCTTGGGAATGTGTGGTTATAGTTCTGTGGGAGAAATACTTTTGCCAGTGTTCACCAGCTTGTAAAATCTAGTGCGAGAGCTTAAAACATCTAAATAAATACTGAAATGCACTTAAAAGTTTGCTGAAATGCTCATCACTTTCACTTATTTTTGTGTACTTTGTCAGCAGTTTTGAGGTGCCTAAATTCAGAATCTAATCAGGCATCTGTTTTCTTTTTCTTTTTTTTTTTTTTTTTTAATCTGGGTCTGAATGTCCCCTTTATTGTAATGTTTGCTGTTTCTTTTACTCATAAATAAATATGGACAAAAATTAATGATAGAAAGTACAGTATTTCTTTATGTAGCTTACTTGTGACTTGCCGTACTAAAATAGGTTACTTCCTTAGTGCTCTTGAAACTGTTTTTGCAGCAAAGGCAGAAGAGTATATGCATCAGTAAAGCTTTGTTTAATGGAATACAGCTTCATTTGACTGAGGAAATAATATCTTTTCTTTTGGAATGATGTCCAAAGACATCAATGTTTCTATTGTCTAGACGGACTAGATAATAGGAACAAGGGCAAAGACAAAATCTACAAAAATTCTGTAACTCAGTAGTACAGCAGGCTGATGTAAATACTGGTTTAACACAGATTAGTATCCAAATCAAGTTAAAAATAATGATTTGGTCAGTCATGAAACTGTAAAACAGCTACCAGCTGCCTGGAATTTTTTTACTTGCTTAAAATTATTAATGCAATTTCTATACATAGATCAGATTTTGCTTTGTCTCATGTGGATAGGAAGGGTTGTGTTTAAGTTAAGAGCTCTTAACCAAGCTCCCATCACTAACATGTTCTTTAGAACTTGAGACTAGGCTTGATTTCAGTTGATTTCAGTAAACAGGTTTCTGAAGAGGAAAAATCTGCATAACAAATGTCTGTTTAAAGCAAAGATCAAGTCAACTTTTGAACTGTTTCCATGTTTGGTCATGACTCTCTAAGGAACAGAAAATGTCTCTTCCTCTTTTGTCTAACAATTCCAGTACGCTTTAGGGACTAAAATGGTAACAGCACTCAAAATGTGAAGATAAGATAGCAGATGGAAATACATAAAGCACATTGAATAAAATCTATGTAATATATATGAATTTACAAATTCAAGGAAGAAAATAATTACTGTATCCTTAGGCAAAAGCCTGGCATGGAAAACAGGCTTTAATGTCACATCTAATTTTCGATGTTTAGAATGACTATAAATGATTTGTCTCTTCAAGAGTTATGTTGTAGCAGTACCTAATCATATGGTAGCACATTCTTGTCATCTGCTAGCCTGTTTTGTGCTGTGGACTTAATGGCTTGTGTAATCTGGTTTGTAAATGGTGGTTGTATTTACAGAATTCCTTAGCATGTAGGAGAAATATATATGGGAAATGGGGTAAGAGGGGGAGAGTATGATCTTGCAATTACTGCAGAAAACTGCATATTGTTCTGTCATGTAGTCCCTAAATAATGCTGAGGAAAGATAGTCAAATGAGGTGCTGTTAACTGGTTACCCAAAATCAAGGATAAAATTAAATTTGGTTTTCTTGAATCTGATTCTCAAATGCTGAACAGTCAGTTTCAACTTAAGTCTATAAATACTTAAATATATATGAAATTATGTAGAACTACATGTTTCTGAACAGTCCTGAAAAATTTCAGATTGAGTACTCAAAACTAGTTAATAGTTCTGATTGTTAATCTCCCTGGTCTTCAGTTCTCCTTGCATAAAAATCCATTCCAGTCCTCACAAGTGGGGCTGTTGTGAAGATAAGCAATAATTTCTGAAGTAATCAGACCCATCTGCATTATTGCAGAAGGAACAGTGAGAACATGTGTAATTCTGTATTAAGGATGAATTCTGGGTTAGACTTAAGATCTTTGGCCATAAGAAAAGTAGTAAAGCACTGCTCATTCATGCGAGCATTGTTTATCCTTACAAGTGAGATGAGATAAAAAATCTTGTGTAATTAAATAAATGTATTTGAGAGAACAGACTGAGGGTTCATAGATGACCTTACCTTTATTGTTTTAAAACTTCTGAATACTTGACTGCAGCACTAATTATGCTTCTTTTTTTTTTTTAATTAAATATGTGCAACATGATTTAAAGTTACTAAGAGATAGTATTCAAAACAGTATTTTAGATTTGTGGGGATTCTGCTGTATCATTAAGCAAGTATTTTCTGTCAGCATAGGGAAAGTTGTCAAACCGGAGATAATAGTAATTTATTTGGAACAACAATATTTTTTTGCATGTATTTGTGTAATCCCACTGTAACAAAAAAAAAAAATAGTTACACTTTGCAAGTTGAATTCAGATCTCAAAATCAGGCTACATTGGGTTTTATTAATAGCTGGGATGGACTTACCTAAACAAATACAGATTTTTGCATGTGACTAGAGGCTTCCCTTACACTTAGTGAAAGGAGTTTTGGACTTCTCAGGTGTATGTCTCATATCGCATATGCTAAGGGAGATCCCTAAATTGGTTAGATGAAGACCTCTCTAAGTGTGAGAGTGTAGTCTGTAAAGCATGGGACAGCAAATTCAGTTCACAGTGTTGGTATCCACAGGTAGATTAAATGTCTCAGCTTCTTTGTGCAATAGTTCAAAATATCAGGTAAAGTATTTCTCTTAATGTACCCTGCTCTTAATGTGTAATAAACATTGACAACTGTAACCTGATTTTTTTTTATATGGATTTATGCTACAGGTAGCCACAGCAAGTCTTATTAGGCATTATTTTCCTCTTGATGATCACCTGCATGAATGCTGTTAATTTTGATGCATATTGTTCTAATGCATTGATAATTATCTCAATAACAACACAAGTTCCTTATCTGTGGAAAGGCTGTTTACGAAGTAATAGTGGTTAAACAGTGGTCTGACAAGAAACGATAAGGACAGTGCCAGGAGATCAAGTTGCCTGCTTCAATTCCTGATTCAAATGAGAACTCTTAAAGTGTAGCTGAAGAAAACCAGGTACCACAGTGTTTAGATACATAAGAATCCTCAAGGCAGAAATACTCAAATAGTAGAAGACATACAGTCTCAAACACTACATGTAACCTGTGTCAGTGTAACAAAACCTAAATGTGTGAAAAGGGTATTTTTAGTGGACTGGAGCTTAATTCCACTTTATCGGTGGAGTAACATCAGTAACAGATCCCTACCCTTCATATAAATTTGCACATGACAATACTATATCATCAAGTTTCACTGATGCTTGTTCTGAAGAAGAACTTGAATTACATTTGGGCTTTGGAGGAGAAAGAACTGAAGGTGGTAAACTCTTCTTCCCAATCCATAGGACCATAGTTATGATATTGATCTGAATAGGGCAGTGCCACTTCAGCATTGTCATGCACTTCATTGGTACTAGTAGGAAGCTACATGCATCTTAGTTTGTCTTCCATTCCCCAGTAAATCTGTGTGTCATTAGGTAGGGCATGCAAATCCTGAACTTGCCTTTAAAATTTCAACTCTATAGCAACTTTCAGTTCATCATAATAAAAGCACATAAAGACAATGGGGACATAGCAGATGTGCAAAACCATGAAGGAGTTCCCTCAAACTGCAAGTACAGTCATCCCTTTATGCTTGATACGTAAGGTTTTTCCACAGTAACACACCCCCTGCCTATCTCAGGGATGGGCTACCCTTCTCTCCACAACTTTGTATGGCAGAATTCTTAATTCTCCCTTCCTTCTAACTTGAGTTCCTTGTAGGATGCTATGGAGAATGGGTACCAAGAGTTATGTAGCCTTGATGCTCTGTCCAGAAATTCTTGGTCATTTCTGTTTCACTTGTCTACTTCTTAAAACTCCCTTCTGGACTTCCTTAATTGGTACCTGTTTTTTTTCACTGGAAAAAAAGAAGTAGTATTCAATGGCTCTTGATGTTTACATTCTGTCTCAGTTGCCTTCCAACACCACCAAGTAGTTATGCTACTATGAACTTGGGTCTCAATAAGTTCTAGTAAATGGCAAGCCCTTTCCCTTGGAAGTGGTTCTGAGCCAGGTCCAGGAAGGGAATTAGAATTATATATTATTGGGTTGAGGCATTAGGATGTTTTTGAAGGAAACCCCCTAATTGTGCTGTTTAGAACACAGAGTAATTTAGACAAAATCATTAAGAGGTGATCTAGTCCAACCCCATGCTCAACACAGGGATAACTTCACAATTATATCAGATTATTTAGGAGTCTATATTGCCAAGTTTTGAATATCTTCAAGGATGGAGATAACAGATTCTTCCAAATCTCTGCCCTGCAGGTGACTACTCTTCCCTTGGGAGCTAGTGAGAATTTTTCTGGATGCAATTTCCTTGTTTCTCACATTTTTCACTGTGACCTCCAAGAGAGTCTGTCTCTTCCTCTCTACATCCACCTGCTAGGTAGCTGAAACAGCAGGAAATTTACTGCCTCAGCCTCATCAGGGTGAAGAAGCACAGTTTGGTATAAGCTCCAAGCCTCTAACAATCTTGGTGACCCTCCACCAGGGTCCATTCCAGTTTGTCAATATTTTCATGTACTAGGGAATTTAAAATTAGACACAGTACTCCAGATGTGGTCTGCAATCACTTCCCTTGACTTGTTTGCTTGCTCTCTTTCTCACACAATCTTTGTGTTCAATTTGTCCATCGGGTCCTTTCTGCAAAGCCTCTTTCTTGCCAGTTGAGGCCCAGCCTGTACCAGTGCATGGGCTATTACATCCCAAATGCAAGATTTAACAATATAAATGACATCTGTTGCTCTCCCTTCATTCCCTGAAGCCATCATCTCCTCTTGTGCTATCAGATTGGTCAGATATAGCTTGACCTTGGTAAATCCAAGTTGGCTTATACACAGTCCCTTCTTTTTCATGTGCTTCTAGGCTTCCAGAAGGATTTGCTGCATAACCTTCCCAGGAAAGGAAGTGAGGCTGACAGGTCTATATTTCCCTGGATACTCTTCCTTGCGTTTCTTGAAGGTGTGCAGGTCTCTCCTGTACTCTCCTCTTTTCTGTTCTACTAGTGTACCGTGGGAACATCAGAGGCACACACCCAGCAACATAGTTTTTGTGTCTAGCTAAGGCTGGGATTGAGCCATGCGACTGCAGTTGTCCCTCTGCATACCCATCCTCTGCCTGAGGAGACGTGGGAGCAGAGCACTGCCCGTGTCAGCAGGACACTAAGGCTGAGAATGGATATACTGCAGAGCTGAGTGGTGCACAGCTGGGTCACTACGAGCGCTCCCACATCATATAATGTCAGTGATGCATAGCTGTGGGCATTCCCCCTCATTCAGCCTGCAAACACAGTACTGTATAGCTGGAGGTTTGCCAGTTCAGCACCTCTGCACAAGAACAGGGAAAAAAGGAGAAGGGCAGCTTTGGGCCTGTGACAATAACAAATTCTTAGGGGGAAAAAATAGGTGGAATAAAATGCAGAATGGATTTCCCAGAGGTTATTGTGCCACACTAAGATTACTAGTTAAACTGGAGGAGGAGACTTAGTAAAATAGTTTTAAGGTAGAAAAAATGGGAGACAATCACACATAATAGCAGAAGGCTGGAGACAGAGAGTGAGTGAAATTTCTCAACAATTGATTTGGAAACTGCACTTTTGTGTATGTGTATATATGATTGCAATAAATATATAATAATATATCATACATAAAACCACATCATAGAGATAACTTTTTAATTGCACTTTAATAAAACCTAGAATATGATAAAGAATTATGCTGAGGAAGATCAGAATGGCATGCATAGTCCTTGTTATATTTCTCCAAGACAGATGAATTCAAACTAAAACATGTGGTGCTTAGTAAGATTTCTTCTCCAGCAGCCTGGAGGGCCATTCGCAATATCAAATTCAAACTTTTAATCTTCTAAGGTCTGTAATTTGATTTTTGCTTTTCAGAATGACATATTGTATGTACTTCATTCATAAATTATTTTATTGCATTTTCCCTTAGTCTTTATTTAAATTTTTATTTATTTAGAATCATGTGATTAATTAGCAATTTGCATATTTCTGCACAGTAGTCACCTGAAGGTCTCTTGGTTCTGTGCTCTGCCATATTCAACAGAACAGTCCCACAATCCAGCAATCCCATCAGAAAGGCACACTGCCAGTCTCTATGTCTCTGCCTGCTACTTGATGCAATATCACACTTGTTGGCAGAAAGAACACGTAACTGGTAATTGTGGAGGAATGAATGGAGAACATGTGTGCAAAGGAAATACAATGCTCAACCTTACTGGAAAAGCAGAGAGGAAATCTCACAAGTCAGAAGCCAGCCTCACAAAAAACTTGCACAGATTTTTAACCCAAGATATATCATGTACATGTTACAATGTATACAAATAATGGTATAGTCTTTAACTGAAGGAGAGTAGGTTTCAATCACACATTAGGAAGACATTCTTTACTGTGAGGGTCGTGAGACACTGGAAAAGGTTGCCCAGAGAAGCTGTGGATCCCCCATCCCTGGCAGTGTTAAAGGCCAAGTTGGATGAAACTGTGAGCAACCTGGTCTGGTGGAAGGTGTCCCCGTCCACTGCAGCGGGGCTGGAACTCAATGATCTTTAAGGTCCCTTCCAACCCAAACCATTCTATGATTCTATGACTCTATGATATATAGAAAATTACTTACATGAATAATGTTGTCTTAAAATAATAATTGATGGTCTCTCGGATCTCTCCTTACAAATATACAAGAAAAAATAAAAAGCCCTGGTGAATATCAAATAAGCATTCATTAATAATAAAATTTTTACTAATTTACTAAAATTAAGTTTTACTAATTTACTGCCATATAATCGCCTCCACAGAAGATAAAAATTAAGGTAAATAGGACTGGAGTGAAATCAAGTATTCAGAGAATTAGTAACTCTAGCAGCAGTTACATAAGCAAGTGGCCAAGCTAGTTTGATGGGAAAGTCTCAAAGGCCTGTTTTGTGCTGGCTATCGAAGTTTGTTTTCCTCCAGTGCTCCAAAACTTCATTCAAGGATTTTTTTCCCTGTTTTACACCAGTCTCTGCAAATAACTGCAACTCCTCTTGAGTCTGGGATAAAATGTCTTTTTTTTCAGTCTTGAATCTGTGTATTCCATTGGATAATTTTTAATAGCTTGTAGCTTCTGCACATTTCATCTCTCTACTAAAATCTACCCTTAGTCATAAAATCAGTGGCTAAACACCCTTCAGAACCTTGCCTTTGTTCACCAAGCTGCATTGTTAATTTTAAAAGCCACAGTCCCTTTCACCTGTGGAACTGAATGTTTTTCTGCTGCTTTCTAGGTTAGGACATGCAACTGCTGTTTGATCCAACAGCTGACAGCTGATAACGAGTCTTTACATAGGGAAAGAGAATGATCTTGTCTTAAACTTGGTGGAAACTGGGTAAAGGGGAACATGTTCCAGTTCCTATACTAACTAATGCAAGGAAGGTTGGCAATGAAAGGAAAAATAGCATCAAGACCAGATATTCTTAACCAAAAGATGTGGATTTGCACTATGGGACTCGAAAATTTTAGATTATTGGCTGTTACTGTTCTGCATTTGCAAAAGTCAAAGAATTCTTATTACAACAAGTAATTTATTTCAGAAGTCTAACTTTGTATGACATTCTAGGAGGTTATGCAATTTACAAAATAAATGAAGCACCTGGGTTTTAAAATAATTTAAATCAACTATCTTGAGAAAATACATACAGACATACCCAGACAAAAGAATGATGTTCCTGTGAGATGTTGTTTGAACAGTTATTGACCTACTGCTATAACATATCTCAGCTTTTGACAGTAGCAAATACTGCCCTGCAGCAGGGGAGAAAACCTGTTTGTCCACCACCAAACCCAACACATTCTTTATTCAGTTAACCGTATTTCTAACTCCTTTCCACACTTTGACAACTGTAGAACTAGTAATTAACACTCAAAAGTGACCATGTTTAAGACCAGTATGATACCTGTGTATAGTGTATTTTCAAAAACTCCATTTAGAACAAAAAACATAGAAAGGTGAGGAAAGGCTGTAAGGAAAATAATTCAGGAACATCTTGGAAAGAGGCTAGGTAGAGACTTGGAACTATAAGCAAAGAAACTGCCTTCTACTGCTTTTTCTTGTGTTTGGGGCACTAGCAGACTGTTTCCTGAAAATAAATAGGTTGCCTTCCAATGGAAACAATTTGCAAGATCTGGACTATTACCAAGGAGCTCATTTATAAAGGGACATGATAAAAATATTGCAAGGAAAGCTAGCAGATGGTGCAGTTGAAATTGTGTACACCTGGTCTGTCACTGTATACAAAGATCTCTGTAATACCTATGAAATTGGCCATTGGGGTCCATTTTTTTAAAATGTGAAATCAAACTGTTACACAGGTGCCACAGGTGGGCAAGTTCATATAAATTGTGTGTCATATAAATGACACACAGTTGTGACTATAAAGGGACTGGCCCAGTGTGGTCACATCAAAAGTGCACACTCTGTTAAACTGAGATGGGTCACTGGAGTTATGTGACTTTTGACAGTGTAAAGAAAGAACTGAATAGGGCAATTAACAATGATCAGATTACCAACAGTGCTTTGCCTGCTGCTTGTGTCAAAAGTAATGAAATCAAAAGGGCTGAATGCTGGAAAATTTGTGCAATGCAAATGTGTTTAACCGAATTTTGATCCAGATAGTAAAGACCTTCTGAAGCTGGGAGAAAACTGAAAAACCCCCCTTGTGGTGATTTGCATAATGGTGATTTAAGAATCATATCACAAGGGAGAAAAAAAATATGAGTGGGTTAAAAACTGTGCTCTGCTTCAAAGGTGCTACTGTTTTGTTTCAACTACCCTGTGTGGTGCCTGAAAATATTGCTGTGTTACCATGCCTTCAGTTTAACACTTCCTTTTTACTGTGATGGTAGCAAGAGAAATATTTAATGTATTCCAGCCTTCGTAGCACTACAGAAAGCCCTAGAGAACACACAACTCAAAGACTCAAAACAGAACTGAAAAAAAGAAACTAAAGGAAAACCAATGCATTTTAACTTCATCCTTCTTTGTCTTGAAATGATGTTTGCATTTCATTACAAAATATGAGGAATATGTAAAGGCAGCATTAATATAATCATCCATATGATAATTCTAAATTTGATTTTTAGAAAGATCATTGTGTTTCTCTTTTGGGGGTGTTGAAACTTGATACATGCAGTAACCAGCCTGTACTGCACCTTATGCCAGCCATCAGAACTGAGAACAGCATAACCAGTGCGGCACTTAGCTAACGCTATAATGCAAACTAGAAAGACAGTCCTGCTCCTGGATAACATTACGTAACGATCAAACTACTCCGAGTTCGGATGCCCTGACAAACACACGTTAGCGGCCCCTCTGGTGTGGATTTTATGTAAATGTGCGCCACGGGTCCCGCAGTGCACGTGGAGCGGCTGTTCCCGGGGAGAGGCGGCCGAGCCGAGAACGCGCGCCCACCAACAGGCAGCACGAGCCGCGTCCGCCCGGGGCCGACGGGCTCCGGAGGCTGTTCCTGTTCCACACGTAGGAACGGACGAGCCCAGCATATCCAGCCCTGAAGGAATCCGCCCGGGATCGCCGGCGCACAGGATGGAATAACAAGCAGGTTGTGTAACGCGGGCCGCGCCGAGCAGGGGGTGCCAGCTACTCCCTGCCGACAAAAGGCCACATCACTGCGCACCCTCCGCTCAGAGCGTGTATATCGCCCACCGGGGCCGCGGCTTACGGCTCCCGCGCCGGGGCCTTAACGAGGATAACCCTCCCG